ATATATATATATATATATTAATGCTCATATATATAATATAATATAATATAAAAATTAATTTTTGATAAAATAAAATTTGTAGCATACATGTTTATTTTTTGTGTTGTCTATTTATTATATATGTTGATCAAAAATAAATAAAATTGTAAAAATTGTAAGATTGTATACATTGATTTAAAAAAATCAAAATAGGAAAGATTGAAAGTTTTATGTTCTTTTTAGAATTCTTATTATAAAATATGTTTTAAAATAAATTATATCTAAAAATTTATATCACATATGAAAAACATGTTTATATCATAAATAAATTAAACTTGATTTTTATAAAATTTAACATATTTTAATATTTTTATTGGTGTTAAATTATTATAAAATGGGTCTTTAAGATTATAGTTTTAAATAGTTTGGTCATTGTCATCTTATAATTTTACAAGTTGAAAAAGTATATCAATACATATTTAAGACATGTATTTTTAAAGAAAGTTAGGTTCAAATTTATTAAAATATGATATAACATAGTTTGATTTAATTTATTTTCATCCTTAATCGTAATTGTAGATATATATTTTACTTCTTTAAGAAGTTAACATTAATTGCCCCTGGATTTTTCTGTATTCTTCTTTCTACTCTTTTACTATGGTAGAGGAAAAACTTTTCAAATGGTGTTTTCAATTGTTTTTTCATTTTTCTGGATTATTGTAAAAAATAATTATAATATATATTTATAGTTATATGTAAAAAAATTTATTACTTCAAATATATGAATAAGTATTGTCCCTACTATATAAAATTTCTAGACCCGTCATTGAGTACATTTATCGATATTTTATTTATTTATTTGCTAAATTATATTTTTAGTTTTTATTTTTTTACAAATTTATAATTTTAATTTTTTATTTAAAAATAAAAAATATTTCATTTTCTTTTCTAAAAATATAAATTTTTGATTAACATATAATTTTTCTATTTACTGCCCTATCACCACTTAAATGACATTAGATGTATGACAAAAAATAAAAATAACATAAAAAAAATATTTCTTTGTATATATTATAATGAATGATTAATATTTATTTTATTAATAAAATTAATTTACTTGTTTTTAAAAAAAAACTATCTCTATATGTTACATCACTTAAATACAAATAAATGTTAAAATTTAATGATTAATTAATAGCAATTTAATGGAAGGATCAAAATTTCATATTTTGAAATTATAGAGATTAATTTTTTCTATTTTTAAATATAGGAACCAAAATTACAGATCGATTAAAAAAATAAAAAAAAATCAAAAGTACAATTTAGTCTTTATTTTTATGTTTAATTACTCATTCTTCTTGTGGGATTTAGATTCTTTAAATTATGATTGAACAATTTTAGTTTATCAAGTATTACAATTGTACGATTTTAATATCTAAAATTTTAATTTAGCTATTTTACTTCTTCAATTATGGTAGTTATATAATTTTAGTCTTTTAAATATCATAATTATGCAGTTTTTTTATCCATTTTAACTACATATATTATGATTTTTATTCACGTACTAAATAACATATATTTATTATTACTAAAATTATTAATAAGTAACTTAATTAAGTAAAAAATTGTATAATTATAATATTTAAAAAAATCAATTTATACTATGGCAATATAAAACCAAAACAGATTAAAAAAAAAGTAATGAATGGAGTTGTTCCAATAAATTGAAATGATAAGTTCTTTCATTCAAATTCAATAAATAAATAAATAAATATATATATATATATATATATAATATTTAAGGCTAAAACTTTATTTTGGTCCCTTATATTAATTATTTGTTTCAATTTAGTCCCACTTTTATTTTTTGTTTTAATTTGGTCCCAAACTAATTAATTGGTTTCAATTTAGTCCCAAATTAATTAATTGATTTCAATGTGAGACTTCCGTCCAAATTATTTAAATGGAGTTAATTTTTGGCCATGTGGATGACAATTTTTTTAAAACACCTAGACCCAGAACGGCCCATTTTGAAACCGGAACGGGCCGTTCTGGTTGCACTTTTGGTGTGTTAATTTTGCATCCGGAACGGCCCGTTCTAGGTGCAAAATTAACACACCAAAAGTACAACCAGAACGGCTCGTTCCGGTTTCAGAACGGGCCGTTCCGGTTTCATCCTTTTTTTTATATATAAAATATTAATAATTCTATAAAATATATATTATTAATTATTCTTACCGAAAATCTGCTGTAGAGCTGATCCGCCGGGTAAGATCGGTGAGCCTCCTTTGCTGATGTATTAGTGCTCCAAGATGGGGGACGTACCTGCAAAAGAGACTCCGATGCCAAAGTTAGGGTTTGCATGAGTAATAGTCTCATATATATAATGCACGTACCTTGAGGTGATCTAGGTTTGCCTTGGGCTTTTGGGCTTGAGATAAGATATATCATGATATGATATGATATAATTGAAGGGCGGATCTGGTCTGGGACGAGATCCTCGGAATCAGGTATGATTCGCTCAAATGTCGGGCTGACGTCATGCACCGCGTGCCC